CTATTTTCATATAATTAACTCCTTTCTAAACTATTTGAATATGATGAGATTATTCTTATCAGATTGATCTATCAGTTAAGTATCATCAATCAAAAATATTCTATTAACACAATGCAATTAAAGGATTAAATGTTAGAATCTTTAACAATTGATTTTATATTTAATTGATATTGATGTGTGAAAGAAACATATCTTAACTCGTGTTTTTTCTTTTATTTTAAATAAGTTTCTCTGAAATATATAGATGATATAACAAATAGTTAATATGATTAACAATGATAAACTTTATTTGTTTCGTTTGATTAAAATCAAGAAGAAGAATAGTCATTATGAATGATTCATTTATATTGTTTAAATAATTCATTTGTAGACTTCTTCTATTTAATAATTACTTTAGAAAATTTTCATTTTTTGTTAAATATTTTTAAATTTGTGTAATTGGCAACAAAAAATTGTTTCTGTTTTCCTTGTTCATGAAAATCTTCATTTATCATCTGTTATTTGTTTCTTGTCAAAAATATATTTATAATTGACACGTTTTCTTTCATAGAGATATAGCCATTTTTTGGTTTATAACACGTATCTTCACGTTCAAAGTACAATATACAAGTGTGTTTAAAACACTGCAGCTGTTTAAAACGCGTGTACGAGTGTTTTTATAAAAAGTTTTTTTGAACGCGTTTATTATCTATAATGTATCTAAAATGTAACACCTTAAAGTATCTGAACGCACTTGGATGTGTTTTTCAATTTCTCAGTGACGAAAAAATTGGTTACAGTTCTATTAGAATATTGATCCACTGTTGTCATTAGACGACTTGTTTACTTGAATTCGATATAGTTCTAAATCGTTTAATATAAGTCTAAAATGTGTTTCATAGTTATATAGAACAGACTAAACGTTGTTGATGACAATAAAAATGACTTGAATAATTAAAGTTGTTTTTTTCTTTCTTCTAGGAGAGTTTTACTTGAAGTAAAGAAAAAAGAACATTCCAAGAGAAGAATATTGCACATTGAACTTATTGAACAAAAGCTAAAATTTCCGACAAGGGAAGTAACTATCAACGGTAAGTGAAACAAAGAATATTGTTATCGAACAAATCCGATGCGGAATGATAAAACTAATAAAAATAAATTATATTTATCTTATTGTCAAATTCATCGAGTAATAGACATGATTTTTTTGCTAGAAAATAAATTAGATATTTCTTCTCATAGTGATGATTCATTTTTTGACGGCAAAGTTCATAAATTTATAGTTTCATAGTTTGAATAGAGAGCAAAGTCGATATCTATAGTGAAACATATTTTTCAAAATGTGTTGTGATCTGACAACTGTCATAAGTAAGAACATTACACTTTTAAATGAAGTCTAACTTCAAAAATTAAGATTTCCAACAATTTTCAAAGTATATTATGTTGACAAATAAAATTTTATTTTTTATTAAAATAAGTTCGTTGTCAAACGGTAACACATAGAATAGATAAAAGACATAAAATACGAGATAATAATAAAAAATGACTAAACATATCTTCTGCGATGTCATCAAAGTTATTTTTCAAAGAAAATTTTATTTATATTTCAATTAAATGAATAATAGATTTGATGAAATGTTTTCTTTTTTTAAGAGATATTTTTTTTTAGAGATGAAAATCAGATGAAATATTTCTCTACAAAAGAAATTTTGTCTGTTTAATTATTTTTATATAATAGTCTACGGAAAATCATTTTGCCAGTTTCTTTTAATTGATAATCATTGCTTTTCCTAATTTAAAGTATGAAAAAAGATTTTATTTATCATTTTAACATTAAACGAAGTTTAAAATAAAATAAAATATAGATATTCTTATTCGATTCAAACTGTTCAATATCAGCAAGATTCTGCATTTTGTGTCATAATCTAAAAGATCATATAAAAAGTTTTTGTATGTATTTCATATTTAGACTAAATTTCAGACAAGATAATGAACAAACTAAGTTCAATTAAAGAAAATCTTCGATAAAACAAAATAAAAGTGTATTTATACAATAAAGTTCAAGTATTAAGGCATTCGAAAGATTCTAGTTAGAATTTTCACAGATATTATTCAACATATAAATAAATATTAAATAATATAAAAGTAGATATTCAAAATAAACTACGCAATGAATTAGATCTTTTCAAACACAGTTAGAATATTCGTTTTGTCGCATTTGTAGATTATTTAAAAAAAAATTATATTTTATTTAATTGTCTAATGGTTTTCATTCTTTCAACACTCTAACTGTTACTCTAGTTACACAGTTTTATATAAGAAAGAGAGAAAAAAATATTCTTCTTGAACTCAATTCTTTTACTGTAATATTTGCATTCAGTAGGTTATATTCATCGTTTTTTTATATATAATTTCAAAATTAAAAAAAAGAAAAACAAAGGAAAAGAGAATATAATAAGTTGGAGATACCTTGAAAGTTTTATATTCTTAAAAAGAAATATTTCAAGAATTGCCACTTAGATAGAACAATCAAAAATATAGAATAATATTCGTGATTATATTCAGTCACAATATATATAAAACATATGATTCAACAGTAATGAGACAAATGTTCGATCCTATTTCTCTTCAATAGAAAGAGTATGCTGAAAGGAAAGTTTTTTATCAAATGATAGAAAATTTTCTCCTCTTTCGAATAGTGTATCATTCAGATTTGTCATATATTAATAAGTGAAACAAGACGAGAAAAAAGAGAAATATCCACGCAAGAAATTAATAATTTTTATATGAGTTCGTTAAAAATATCTTGTAGACAACAGTTGATTACACAACGAACTGTCGTTTTAGAAGATGTTTATAACAAGTTCATAAAAGTTGCGAAATAACCATCGTTTGACAAGATCTTTTTAATGAGTTCATATAAAAATTATAAATTTCTTCTGCAAATGTTTCTCGTTTTTTTTTTCTTGTCTCATTTCATTTAGGGATGTGCGATAAAAATAAATCATACAATGTTCGGAGGAGGAGAAAAAGTTCTATCTTTTGATAAAACGCTTTTCTTTCAGTATCTTTTTATTGAAGAGCAATAGAGTTCGACATTTTGTCCGATTACTATTGCATCCTATATCCTACAGGGTGGCACAAAAGTCAGTTTACCGAAAAAAAATGGAATATCTCGATTATGGCTCGAGCAAATTAGCTGATTTTTTTATCAATAATAGAGACATGTTCAAACTTTATATTCACAAAGACAAGTCTAGAGAGACCATTCGTTAAGTCTCACCAGTAATTTCAACAAAAAAAAATTTTACTTTTTTGCAGATACGAGAAAAAACCAATATACTTAACAAAGTGTCTCTCTAGGCATGTCTGTATGTATATAAAGATTGAACATGCCTCTATCACTAATGAAAAGATCAGCTCGTTTGCTCGAGCCGTAATGGATATATTCAATTTTTATTCGGTAAAGTGACTTTTGCGCCACCCTGTATATGAAAAATAGTTAATTTAAGTTATGACATAAAAACTAGCCGATGGCTAACATTCTGAACAGGACGATCTATTTTGTTTTTTTAAAGTCTTTTCTCGTATTAATTTTTTCGTTCGCAACTAAAGAATGTTTCGCAAGTTATTTCTATGTGAGAGTAGTCTAAGATTTTTTGATGATTTTGATTGTAGCGTACTACGTATACTATTTTCATATCTTTCAACTCGATTTATTCTCATCGCGATTAATTTTCAAAACACTTCGATCAATTCAAAAGTTCTGTCAGAAATATCTTATTTCCAAATAGTAAGCTCAAAGAAGTTTTCTTTTTTTATAAAGTGATAAAGAAAATGGAGATCTATTTTTCTATGCCATTTGATCATACTTCAACTAATTGAATAATAATAAAATAGACGATAAGAATTGGTTTTTATGTAAGACTTGAGCCTATTTAAAAAACTAATGGGCATGAGTATTTTTATAATAGCTCAAGAATGGAAACAGCTAGAGAGCTATGGTTTTCATTGTTCGAAAGAGGAGATGAAGATGCATCAAATCGTATATTACATTTATTCTTAGCATGTTGTCTGAAGTTTATTTAACCAATTTTCTAAGTGTAGAAAAATGATTTCTTATCAAAAAGGAAACAGCAAAAAGAACTTGATTTTTACAGAAGCTGTCAGAAAAATCGCTTACAGCTTCGTCTAGTATACTTATAGCTTCCGGATGACCAATTCTAAATATCTGAATCCTGTGCAGGTTTTTAGACCTCTCTTTAACAGTTTGAATACGCATCTAATAATTAAGAATTCACTGTAAACACCTCACGGAGTAGGTTTGCTTTCAAAGGAGTCTATTGAAAACCTTAAATAAGTCATATAAAAAAAAATCTGTAATATACGATTTGATGCATCTTCATCTCCTCTTTCAAACAATGAAAACCACAGCTCTCTAACTGTTCCCATTCTTGAGCTATTATAAAAATACTCATGCCCATTAGTTTTTTAAATAGGCTCAAGTCTTACATAAAAACAGTTTTTATCTTCTATTTTATTATTATTCAATTAGTTGAAGTATGATCAAATAGAATAGAAAAATAGACCTTCATTTTCTCTATCATCTCATAAAAAAAGAAAACTTCTTTGAGCATACTATTTTGAACTAAGATATCTCCGATAGAACTTTTGGATTGATCTAAAGTAAAATCGGTAGTAGTAGAACAGTAAAATGCCAATCATCTAAGTCTTGATTGATGTCATTTCTATATTTAAACCTTCGAAAAAATGAAAATATCATATTTTACTAATATTTCAAAGTGAAATAATACACAAAAATATATCATCATCTTCGAGATACATGAAAATATATTAGCTTAAGATAGAAGATTAAAAAAAAGTAAAAGCTTTCTTGATGTATATGTATTATAGTGTCATATAGACTTATAATATTCTATGATTAGTATTTTACTTATTCAAGTAATTTGATTATGAAACAAAATACAGATTTTAATATTTCTAGCATTATTAATATTATTATGGAAGTCGAACATACAGATGTTGTTGTGACTCCAGTATTATCTGAAGATGGTCCAAGAAATCTAACAGAACAACCCGAATCATACGAAAATAAATCTGTATCAATTGATATGAAAATAAGTAATTGGAATAAAGTCAAAGCTGCTAATCGTCGTATTTTACCTAGAAAGTCAAATGGAGAAGTAAAATTAAGTAATATTATTGATGAACTTAAAAAAATGGCAATTGAAGAACAAGAAGCTCAGAAAAATGAACAAACATTAGGAAATAATTCATTGAATTCTATAAAATTATTTCGAAAACGTTTAGCAAATTTTCTTCAAAAAGCAACATTTCATTATATTATTATTTTATTAGTTATCACAGATTTAATTGTCGTTGTAGTAGATTTAGTTCTCGGTATGTTGATTTTGTTTTTTCTAGAAAAAACAAAAAGAAAATTTCGTTTAATTGAAAAGAAAAATTTCAATTAAATAAAAGAAAATATCATCTTTAAAATTTCTTAATTAATTTAGCTCAATTATCATCACCCTGTTTAACTGATGAAGAAATGGAATTTTATAATACAACTGTACAACGTGATACATGTTTACTTGAACATTCTGTTCATTTGGCTCGTACTGATTTATTTCTTTTCTATTTTTCTGCTTTATTACTAACTATATTTGTATTGGAAATTTTTATTTCTCTTTATGCTTTTGGTTGGAAATATTGTACGAATCCATTGTATCTACTTGACAGTATAATTGTATTGGCTTCTTTCATTATGGAAATGTATTTTCATTATGGAAATATTGCAAGAGCTGGACGAGCTGCTGCAGCCTTCCTTATTTTACGTTTATGGAAAATAATTCGAGCTATTCATGCTGTTGCACATTCTATTAGACTTAAAAATCGTGTATTGATTAATAAAATTCAAGAAGCTAGAATATTATTAGAAGAAGAAAAACAACAAACAGAACAAACATTAGAAAAACAAGAAATTAAAATTGAATATTTCATAAAGATATTGACTAATTTAGGAAAATTACCATCTACAAGTCGAATCGATGATTACGTTAATAATATATGGACACAAAGAAAACAAAACAATGTAAATATGTTGAAAAATTAAATAGATAAATATAACATAAATGAAAATTTTTATTTTATTATTTATCAGTTAGAAACTGAAGGAGTTTTTCTTTTTATAGTTTTTTAATGAAAATCTCTGCTCAATTTCTTTCCTTAGCGACATCATTTTGCAAAATAAAAATGCATATATCTCCGAAAGATGAACTTTCTTTTAGATAATTTTTATCTATCATATCTATGTTGAATTACTTGAGATAACCTGAAAAATTCACTCCTTAGACTTTTATCCCATCAATTTATTATTGAATAACTACCATTAGTGATAAGAGAGAAAATAAATACAAAGGTTTTAACTGTGTGAGTTTTCATTCTGAAAATATTGCAAATTCAAAAATTATTTTTGAAAACTAAATCGGACATTTTGTTGAGAACTCTTCAAACTACATATTTGTTTCTTTCTTCCATACTACCGGATGTGTTCAAAATTAAAAATCATTCTTATATTGATTGAGATTTTCTTTCAGTATTTCAAACAATATTTATTTCAATATTAAAATGTTGAGATTTCATGAGGGAAGGATTTGTTATATTGACTAACAGATATTTTTATAGGAAATTTTCATGAAGATAATTTATGTTCAAATTACTATTATGCAATCTATATTTATTGATGATCAATTATTGAATAAAAAAAAAATAACTAATTCTATGATAAAGTTTTATCTTTCTTTAACGAGTTAATCTATCAACATATAGAATTAATTAAAAAAACAATTCTTTTACTATTCTATGAGATCCTCTATGAACCATTGAAATGAGCAATGATACATGCATTTTTTTTCTAGGTTGTGTAATTTTAAAAAAAATATTTCAGGTACTTTCATCAAGTTGATTTGACAAACTTTGCGTTTGATCTATGAGAATTATTAGGCTCTTAACAAAATTAGTCTAATCACAAGTGATTTTCTTAGTTGTCGAGAGCAACAATTCGGTTGCGAGTAAAGAAAAATGAACGTATTTTTTCACAGAAAAATATACAGTAGCACTCAAAATTGATCATACACTTTACACAAAAGTAAATAAATATTGAGCAATAAAATTTTTTCTATTTCATCGGTCTGAACAAGAAGACACATTTTTTCAAATATTTTAACTGAAACTTTGTTGAAATGTTTTAGAAATGCATCTTCTCGTTCAGATCACTAAAAATACGAAAATTTAAATTGCTCAATTTTTATTTACTTTATATGGGATGTATGATCAATTTTGAGCGAAATCAAAAGACTGGATTTTTATTATTTTTACTCTAGCACAACAAATATACGACGAATCAGAAAGATTAAACTTTCAGCAAATAAACTATAACAACTGGACTAAATTTTGACAAAAGTCACAACTCTATATGTTGAACTCATTTAGAGATATTAAAGAAACAAGATCATTTGTCAAGTGTATGATCACTTTCGAGCACCATTGTATAAGATCGTAGAATGACTACTTATTTATAGAAAATTCTTCAAGAACTCAATTTTATCTTGATCGATATCAATATTGTTTTAGTTTAAATCAAAAATAAAAGGGAATTCTAATAGAGAATTGATTGTGTATTGCACATATGTTGTTTTCTTTTATTAACAAAAAAACTAATGATAATCTTGAGTAGAATTTTTTTCTAATAATAAATCAATATAAGCATATTTAATATGATTTTTTTCTTGAATTCCTATTTTTTGGCATAAATCTTTTGCAATTAATTGTCCTTGTTCAGATGTTTGATCATCCCGTAACATAACTTCAAGTTCAATGAAGATTGATGATTCCAAACCTTTAACTTGATCAATATGTATTCGTGTTTGTCCGTGACCTGTTAGAAATAAAGTTCGATGTTTATCAACTTGTCCACGAATTCCATTCAATGATAATGATAAAACATTCTAAAAAAAAACCAATTAATTAATCATTGTCTTTTCGATGAGAAGACGAATGAATAATTTTTTCTAAATAAAATAATTATTTAACAAAAAAGAAAAAAACTCTTTTTTTCTTTTCAAAATTTCACTTGTATTGATCTCTTTGTTTTTCTAAATATTTCCATCTTTGTTTAATTAGTTCATTAATATGAAAAGGTTTTTTAAATGGTCTTTGACTTCCTCCAAATCTTAATTGACCAGATTGTTTTTTTCCTCCTAATCCACCTCCACATCGTCTTGGTTTCCAGCCAAAGAGTTTTTTTGAAGCAACATCTTCAATTAATAATAAATGTTCATTAAATTTATATTCTTTATTTCTATCAATGTGTCCATCAAGAAAAGCATAACCTTTTGATTCACGTGTAACGATATCTCGAATAAGATTAATATTAGTTGCATTAGGAAATATTTGTGCAAGATCATTTTCAGTACATGATGGTGGAATATGTCCAATAAATAATGATGAACATCGATGTGGAGGTTCGTATTTTGATTGATAAGCACGAGTTATAGCTCGATCATGTGGTATTAAATCAGTTCCATCAATAGAACCGGACATTTGAGGATCATAAAATCCCCATTGAAAACATGTTGATCGATACATTATCTAGAAGAATAATAAAAGGAACTCACTTTCAATTCATTTGGATGAGAAACAAATGCTATCGCATAATCTGAAACTTTAGAAATTGATAATGATGATATATCATTTCGTTCATAATAAATTAATTGAGCTGGACCATCCTGAAAAATAATATTTCTCATAGATTAATCTAATTTCATTTCTACTTGTTCTATTCGTAATTTAAGTCTTCCACCTGATGGACAATTAAAAAATGTATCATTCTGAGTAAAATGACGTGGAGGACCATCAGCCAATGGTCGAATTCGTTCTATTAAATCATTAATATCACCATCAATACGTGCTTTTATTTCAACGTTTCGAGGCATTTACAAGAATATCTATCCTATATTTTATCCCTTCAATAATAATTTTTATTTAATCTAATCAGTCAATCAGTTTAAAGGCAAAAATATCGGCATCAATGTGGAGGTACAACAAAATTCATTAAAGGGTTCGCTAGTTATCAATATTTCATGATAAATTTGAAAAAATTTCAATAGAAATTTCAGTATTACAAATTGACTGTTTAGTAAGCAGATTACAATTTTTTTGTTTTAATTCGAATTAAAAGCTGCTATAGCGATCCATTGACGTTAAAATACGAAAAATAATGGACTGTTGAGGTTTGTGAGTCATCATGTTGTTTCAACATATATCCTCGATAAAAAACTATGTTATAGTACCTGCAGAAATAAAACAAGAGATAGTATAGTGGCTGTCTCTAACGATCTATGCAGTAATTAGAAATAGGTGTTCTGTATTTCAGTATTCTTTTTAGATCTTGTTTTTTAATAAAATGACTTTGATTTTTGTAAGCTCCTAAAAACACCTCTGAAACTTTTCTTTGAATGACTCAAAATGAATGTGTCAGTTTCATGAGGTATACATCCAATCCAGACATTGACAATTCTATAAAATTCCACTAAACAATGGAATTTAATGTCGAACTAAGACGATCTGGTAGAAAAGATACGAGAGACTATGATAACGCCATGTTTTTTTAAATCAATCATATGTACAGACAGATTCTGATGCCCTATTTCGAAATAGGAATAACAAAAAGATTTGAAACTTTCGCAATTTAACTATTCTCATTGGGGCCTATGCCTATGCAAAGTTTTCAGCCATAATTCAAAACTTATTTTTTCTTTGCGTCCCTGAAAGGAATCACAACATTCAGCTTAATAATACAATACAGATACTGTATTTTAACAGCAATAACCTACCAACCCAAACCCGTCTCAGGGTATCCATAACTCATTACTATCTACATGATGTACACAGACCCGAATCAATACCAATTGGACAGTTAGGGTACTTCGCTCCTTAGTTGCACTCAGCCGAAAAAAATGTTCAAGTTACACATATCAAGGTCGATCATGAATATGTTTGACCGCTTCCAGTAAACTACTAGTATCTCGTCTTTTAATTATTTAACAAATACCTAAGCATGCGAAGTATTAAAATGTGTCGTGTTTATGTGTCGTTCGCAAAAGTGTGGCACACTCTATCACGGAAATTTGTCGCAGTCAAAATGTGTCGTACTATAGATGTATCGTAGTCTATCTGCTAACCATTCATTCACCGTTTTTATTGTACATACCGTTATACAGAATCAACACTATTGAACATACTAAACTTATAGGTTTTTGTATGTCATTTTTTTCTAGATTACTTCTCGATTAGTCATTATTCTAGAACATACTGATAGATTGATCGATATTTGAAAATGAACTACTTCGAAGCGATCTGATTAAAGACAAACTGACTTGAGCCAGTGAGCTCTTAAGAGTTTGTCGTCTTGGTTTTCAACAGTAGATATTATTAATTCAAATTAAGCTGAAAAAGTAGGCATTATTCGATGTTGCAGAAAAAAAAATAGACGTACCAAAGCTTAAGTTTGAACCATGTTTTCAAAATGTGTCACAAATTTAAAGTGTCGTGTATTGTGCCGTAAAGTACAGCACATGTTATATATATTATATCGGTGTGTAGGGAAAAAACTTATTTATTTCATGAAACAGGAACAATCTCCTTTCGTTTAAGAATATACATGATTTTCATAAAATTCGAAAACTATTAGTTTAATGTTACTACATAGATAGAGTTCAATTTGTGTATCAGTTGCACTTATTTATGTAAACGGCAACGGTGTTTGCAGCGCGGTTTGCGACAATAATATCAAGTTTACCATCCCCATTGACATCAGCTGCTGTCACAGAATACGGGCTAGAGCTAGTACCATAAGTCACTTGAGTATCAAACGTGCCATTGCCTGTGTTGAGAAGAACACCGACGTTGTTTGCATTAGTGTTTGCGACAATGATGTCGCGTGTGCCATCGCTATCTATATCAGCTGCTGCTACAGATACTGGACCGGAGCCAGTCGAATAGTTTGCTTGAGCAACAAATGTGCCATTGCCAGTGTTGCGGAGAATACTAACGTAGTTCAGACCTTGGCTTGTGACAATAATATCAGTTTTGTTGTCTCCATTGATATCGGCTGCTACCACAGACGATGGAAAAGAGCCGGTTGAATAGACTACTTGAGTAACAAACGTTCCATTGCCAGTGTTGCGAAGAACGCCGATGTTGCTTGCAGCGAGGTTTGCGACAATAATATCAGGTTTGCCGTCCCCATTAACATCGGCTGCTGCAACAGATGTTGGGCTAGCGCCAGTGGGATAAGTCACTTGAGCAGCAAACGTACCATTGCCAGTATTGAAAAGAACTCCAACATTGCTTGCACCGAGATTTGCAACAATAATATCGAGTTTGCCGTCTCCATTAACATCGACTGATACCACAGAGTTTGGATTAGAGCCAGTGGGATATGTCATTTGAGCAGCAAACGTGCCATTGCCAGTGTTGAAGAAAACATTGATGTTGTCTGCATTGTAGTTTGCGACAATCATATCGAGATTGCCGTCCCCATTAACATCGGCTGATGTCACAGATGTTGGACGAGCACCAGCGGGATAAGTTACTTGAGCAGCAAACGTACCATTGCCAGTGTTGAGGAGAACGCTAGTGCTGTTTGAAAGACTGTTTGCGGTAATGATATCGGGTTTGCCGTCACCATTGACATCGGCTGCTACCACAGAATATGGATTAGAGCCAGTCGAATAGTTTACTGGTGTCGGAAATCTATTGCATGGAGCTATTACGACATAAAAATTGTTATGATCACAGGTATGATTATGAAGAAGAACTGCCTCATCAGAGCTTTTTACTTTCAAACAACGTTATCCCAGCCATTGTTGATACGATACAAGTCGAGTGGATCATAACGCTCATCTTGAAAAGTTTCTGTTTTTCCCTCACGAAAGGAAATACTTTTTCTTGCGCCTTCTACGGTTTGCACTAGAGCACCTCTCCTCAAAAAATGATAATCCATCCGTCAATCTTGACTACGTCCATTGCAGCTCTGTCCTCGATTACGGTATTATTATCATTGTTCAACCGTTCTCTGATTTCGTCATGTTGCTTTCAAAATTTTTCTATTGGATTTGAACTGAATTTCATCTTAGATTCGATCAGTCCAGCAAATGATATCAAATCTATATGGACAGAACTCACGAGATTTTTCTTAGATACAATCAGTAGGATGATTGACAACGTGTCTTCGATATAGCGTGATCAGAAAATGATCTTAAAAAGAACTGTAGTTTGATTAGTACGCGTATTTGCCTAAGACATGGTAGAGAATGCACTTTAACTTAATAAAGTATACTTTGAGGAAACACAACAAGAATAGTACAGTCAAATTAACCTTACATTGAATCCAAAAACAAACATTCGGCTTTTCACTCCGATCAGACAACAACAATCTAACGCTTGCGTCCATCTAAATGGACATCTAAAAATATATATTCGTCCTTTTTATAATCCTAAACAATAAGTTCCTCGTTGTCTTTTTTCATCTACAGTAGCCAATCAGTCGTCTCATGAAAATTGAATAGGATTGAAAAAGTCAATGAAAAAAGGAATGAGAAAAAGAAGAAATTCTCAGTTTCTTCTGTAGTTGAAGTGCAGGACATCTTGGCTGAGTATTAGCAATGATTTCTGATGAGTTGACCATTAATCTCAAGAAAGAAGCAGCTAATTCAAATCAACCGAAAATGAAATTGGAGGCCTCCTCACCCCTTAGAATTGATTTGCCACTTATAATGGTCCATTTGAGCTGAAATTTTCACGAATGAGTGGTTCTAGTGGGATAAGTTTCTGGTAAACATTCAGCTCTATAGGTCACACTATACTGAACTTCCAGCTTATTGGATACACAACTCGAGGTGGTTTCAAATTAAAGTTAATCTCTGTGCGCAACTGTTCATCAAACAGAATTTTAAAATTCCTACCGTTTTTTTTTAATGAGTATTTCAGTACGCATGTCTTAACACATTGGGCCCGATGTCGCCCACCGGTGGGCGACGCTATAGTTTAACGAGAAACTGTATAGAAAAACACTTTCTTTTGCTTTTTTCTTGGCAAGAAGTTAAACATAGGGTGTCATCTGATCTATCTTCTGTACTTTATTTGAGCCCCTTATTCCATAGCATAATGCTTATTATTAAAACACTCAAGACAAAAAAATTTATCACAGTCAGAAATGAAGATAGAATAGATGACACCTTATGTTTAACCTCTTGCCAAAGAAAAAAAGCAAAAGAAAGTGTTTTTCTATACAGTTTCTCGTTAAACTATAGCGTCGCCCACCAGTGGACGACATCGGGCCCAATGTGTTCAAATCAGCATAAAAAATGATGGTCTTGTTGAGGATAAAGTATAAATATATAATCCTTATCTTGACTGTTAGTAGAAGCTTAATAATTCATATAGAAATATTTTATTCAATGCTGATACTACTGTTCGTGCAACATTAAATAAAAACATAAAGATAAGGAGGTATCTTTAATTTTATTTTATCAAATGTTGAGGATAGTTGCCATGATTATTTATACCAAGTTCGATCCTTTCTAACAATTTGTTAAAAGTTTCTTTGAAGCTTTTTCGAAAAAATTTTTAGGTACCTTGGAAACCGCTTGAGCTAATCATGTTTCATTTATTAAATCAGTTAAACTATATTCGATAGAATTAATTAGTGAAAAGTTACATTGTACCAGCCGTGGCGAATACAGTGGATATGATATCATATTGATACCTTCTGCTATCATGCAATTAATAACATTGGATGAGTATGAAGTCAACGATAACCTTCAAGCAATTTTGTACATTTTGAACCTGATGTCTCCATTTGTTTCCATATTTCATTAATAAAAAGCTTTGGAGAATTTTCAATATAATACTTGTGACTTACAATCTTGCTTTTATCTACATTCAGGAGTATTTGATTTAAAGAATATATCAAACAAAGTGTTGGTTAAAATCTGTATTCATGAACAATAGTCTTTGACGATTCATGTTTAATAAGCCAGCTAGCATCGGATAACTTATGACTAACCTATGTAAAATAAATCCATATCACGTAACTGGTAGTACTACAATGCAACTGACATGGTCGAACAAAATTTTGCTAACTTTTTACAACAAATGGAATATAGTTAGCTCATGTGGTTTCCAACGTACCTAAAAGTTTTTTCGAAAAAAACTTCAAAGAAACTTTTAACAAATTGTTAGAAAGGATCGGACTTGGTATAAATAATCATGGCAGCTATTCTCAACATTTGATAAAATAAAATTAAAGATACCTCCTTATCTTCATATTTTTATTTAATGTTGTACGAACTTTTCGTCAGACCTAAGTAAAATCATCCCAAGTCACTTCTCCTCCTTGGGTCTATGTCAGTTACAGATACTTAGTATTATGCACATTGATCAATTAGAACTTCTTTTTCGAATCCAATTGGCCGAATACTCATGCATATACGCGATATATAAACGGGCATGCTGTCTTACATGTTGTTGTTGTTGATGATGTAGAAGTGGTCTTGGTTGTTGATGTGGAAGTTGTTGTCGTTGATGAGGTGGAAGTTTTTGTCGTTGATGAGGTGGAAGTTGTCGTTGTAGTTGCCGTGGAAGTTGTTGTTGTAGTTGCTGTGGATGTTGTTGATGTGGAAGTTGTCGTTGTAGTTGCTGTGGATGTTGTTGATGTGGAAGTCGTTGTTGCTGTTGAGGGGGAAGTTGTTGTTGTAGTTGCTGTGGATGCTGTTGTTGCCATTGCTGTTGTTATTGTCGTTTTAGGTATTGTGATCAAGGAAACAACCACTACAGCAATAATTGCGCCAGCAAGAACAAGAGCAAGTGGACACAGACATAAACAGATAGGTGAATATCGGCAACAGATTGGATTAAAACTGCTAAATGCAAATTTTTCATAGTATAATAAGAACAAAGTACAAAAAATTACTGACCGTTTCTTTTTGTCTTTATTCGACTTTCGGTCATGTAACTCCTTATAATCTGTTACATTTGACCATGAACCAAATGCCTACATTAATTTAAAAGATGAATATTGATAAAAGAAAAAAAAGAGTCTCGCTTTAATTCCAGTTTTATCATCTAATAGAGTCAAATTATTTGGAACAATGTTTTGCTACAAATATGACTCTTTTAGATCAAAGTAACTTTTATATATAAATAACAGAATTTCCAATTACCTGACGATTAGTTTCATTTGTTATTCCCAATGAATCCTTGATGACTATGGATAATCGCTGTTGATTATTTTCTCGAATTCCACTAGGCTTTTCATCTGTTCTTATTAAGAAACTATCTTGTTGCAGTGACTTTTTCTCCAAATCATCATTTGTTCGTTGATTGAAATGCGACTATAACGAGAAAAATAAAAACGAAAACATTTCAACAAATTTTTAAAGTATAAGCCAATTAAATCTGTATATAAGAGCTCATTGAACCGAATGTGATTGTCCAGTCACACAAAAAAGTAATGAAAAACAATGGCATTCGAATAGCAGAGCATATCCTAGATGTTTAAAATAGTTTAACAAGTCACATTTTGCGAATGTTTATCAATCAAAAAGACATTGTTTTGATAATATTTTAATTTACTCAAAATTGCACGTATGACACTATCGAATTCATGTGGTTTTCGATGCAAAAACTTAACTCTTTTCTTGCAATTATACAGTTTGATAATGTTTAGATGTGTAACAGTCTTAACTAGTATTATGGTATAATAGAATATAATGAACTATTCCTATACTATTTGATCGATCTTACGGACTCTGTTGCTGAAGTGCGTACAAAGACAAATAAATTTCCATTATATGCGATGGTTATCAGAAAAATTTTTTCATCCTGAAACCGAATGTTTTACACTTGAGGGTGTGGGTGGGTGGATGTGTAGCAAGGGAGAAACAGCGGACTCCATGTCTTCGGAACTCCAATAGGGGTGTAACAGCTCCACTGTAGCTCCTCTCAGAGAAGCTGTTAAAACGGCTCTTTTGATACGAGCTCAACTGGTATGAACTCGTTAGTGCTGTATTTGCACAACAGATCAAATGCGTTCTGTTATGAGAACACAGTACTAACGAGTTCATACCAGTTCAGCTCCTTTGAGAAGAGCTAAAGCGGAACAGTCACACCACTGAACTTCAATGGAGTGGAGTTCGCTGTTTTTCCCTTGGCATATGGGATGGATGGATGGATAGGTGGGGATGTGAGGTGAGTGTGAGGGCGGTCAAGTGATATTATCCTCACACTTACGCACACCCCACATCCACATCCGTTCCTCTCAATTACTGGTCAAATTTTTTTCTAAAATATCCTGATCTGCCAAAAGCTATCCCATCGTAACTTTTGGCAGGTCCACTTGGTCGTTTTTTTTCTTTCTAATTTTCAATGATACTTGAGCCACCACAGAGTTATTCAGACTAGTGAACAGCACTATTCAGGATACAGCTAAAAGGTGTTTTACTCAAACGAATATCCGACCTTTTGGCTGTACATGGCTATCTAAGGCCATCTAAGATGTTGTAAGTCATTCCTTAAAATTTTTTTGTGGAACATTTTCTATCAAAACAGTTTTGATAGCCTTGGTTACAGCACGGAAAGCAGTGATTAGGATCGATACCGTTTGATTGTTCAAGTTTGTTAAGTATTCATAGAATTTATGAAACTTGACCGAATCGGAATTGTGTGCTACGCTAAGTGTAAGCAATTATCGTACGTCCTGCTTCAATTTAGTAACAGCAACTTTCTGAGAACTTGATCGTGGATTGATATATTTTATTTTTTAATTATACAAATTGTCGGATAATTTTTGGATTCTTATTTTACTAACAAATATTCTTAGCATGGATTATATATGATCGAAACGCATAGTCCTTCTTGCACATTTCCATTTTTTAATAGTATTATATCAGCTCGTTTTCGCGAAATGAACCAAACGACAACAGCTTATAGTGAAGGTTTTGACAAAAGATTCTCCACTTTTAATGGATTTATCTCCAAGAATTTCGGCACTCTTATTCATTGCTCTTTAATCCCATCACTTGACGAGCTTGTCTTCTTCTATCAAACGATTATTTGAGAAAATACTGTCGCTGAAATCTCTATTAAAATGGCTTCGCGAAATTAAGAAAGAATTGACATGTCTCATCCCACTATTTCTCCAAAAATCTCATCACATGCCGTTCCAGGACGAGACGGGACTTGGTCTGCGTCCTGCGGAGCTCTTGTGGCATCTCTAAAAAGGTGTAAGATGGCCATAGAAAAGTTCTACTCTAACTATTCTGCATTTTCAAAATATAGTATTTCCTATTTTCTCTTTGATAAGGGGAGCCAGAAAAATCTGACCTGCAGAGACGAAACTGGTATCGGTTATGGGCCGGTTCGGCCCGATATCAGTACGGTTTTCAGACTGATCGGTCTATCTTATTTAGTTTTCTGCTTTTATCATTCAAACTTATTCAAGATTTCTACTCGGTCTTAATAGTATTTCGTCGAGAATGCGTTAGGAAATGTTTGGTAGACGTTAACTATATTAAAAATCACTATCCAGATGCAGAACTGTCACCGATACTAGTCGCCAAAAATTCAGACCGATTCCATCCTTGTTTATCTGAAAATTACACTCATTAGTTTTGCCTTCGATGATAATCAAAAGGTATCGTTGGGACGTCCGTGGAAAACATGAAGTTGTCTGGCAAGTTAAAAAAACCAGCTGGTTTTTTACTAGAAATCGAGGCTCAAACGATAGTTTTTGCTAGAAAATGTTGAACAGTTGTTAAAATGTTTCGCTTCACGAAGAAGTGACCACATGAGCGTGCTCGGCTTAAAAGTATCTGTGATTTTTCTGTTTTTAGGGCAATTTTACTTTTTCCTACCTTTTGGAGAGCCTCAGTTTCGGACAGTCGTCACTAGCATGGTCTCCTTCAGTGGCGAAATCGATAAGAGTTATCGTAACAGATTTTCCCTTTGAAAAGAATAAGAAAAAGGACAGTTTTTCATGGGTCTGGGAAAAGTTTTTACTTTGCGAAAAATAACAGTTACGTACCCGCAGTCACTTGAGAAAAACTTTCAACTTTGGTTAATTTTTCCTTTGAAACAGCCCAATTTAGAACAATCGTTGTCAGCGTAGCCATCTTCAGCGACAAAAGTGTAGAGAAATTTTCTTACATTAGATTGCGGATTCTCTTCTCGAAAATTTGCTAGAGAAAGTCAAAGCTTTCAAGAAGATTGCAAAAAGTTTTCCCTTCGCAAAATATTGTCACATTTTAGGTTGCAAGACAAAGATTAATATCAGGTCTGATGCAAAAAAATTTTGCTTCCCCAATCTTGGCTGCCTCACGACCCATCTTACATCTAGAGACCAAAATCGAACCCCAACTTGAACCACTTTTTGAAACATGAAGCCTAGCCGTACTCGAACCAGCAAATCCTGGTTCGATTCGATTAGTGTTACATCTCTTTCCAATCCTGGGTCCTCGCGCGGGCCTGGCATTTACACGCTCTATTTAATGCTTCTCTTTTGAAATACGTTTTTTTCAACATGCACGCCATGTAAACACACTACGTTCTCAGTATGTTTTATGCAAACTGTACTTAGATACTAACGTTTTCCTTTGACAACATGTTAAAATGCAGTTTTCATGTAACAGAATGATAAAATTTTTTAGTCCTGCTGCCGCTTGAATTATTTTGCCTGTTGACCGAAGGAAAGACAGTATTGGAATCCTATATAAAAATAACGTTTACTTATAGAAAAACAATGATTTTTTTCACAATTATGTATGATCTTCTCAATCTGAAGAGCAAATTCATGAAAAGTTTACCTAACAAAGTATCTGACCACACATACCAGTTCCACACAAATACGTTTATTGTAGTAAAAATTGTTGAATATTCTGTCTATCAAATGTTGTGAGGAACTATAATTCAGAGACGTCCACCGCGGCCGAAAATCTACCGCTGCCGCACGGTAGCCTTAAAAAAAGCTGCCACACTGCTGCCGCACCGCGACGATTTATTGAAAAATGTTGCCGTGACACTGCCGCGATGAATTATAGAAAAAAACGTGCCGTCGCGGCAGTTTTCAAAAAAGTGTTTCTAATTTCACTGCTGCGACTATATTTGACCAGAGATATTGGTACTAGTCCATCGGATACATTCAATCTTGGGGCGTTTCATTTGTAAATCCTGAAATTCTATTAAATTCATGCAATTTTTCGATGCCTTCCAAAAAATCCTGCTGCTGTCACGATGGTTTTTTAAAAAACCTGCCGCTACCGCGCTGCTGGCACGATGATTTTTTAAAAATCTGCGGCTACCGCACCGCAATGGGCATCTCTGCTAGAATTTGATCATTGCTGAAGGAATTCATGAAGATTTATATAGAATTCAATAATGAACATCTTCTTCATTTGACTACCTTACCCGAACTGATGACTGATGATTCTGATTAATTTTTGTGGCATTGACACTGTCTGCTTCACAATTTAATAATTCGACAAAATGTTGACTGGCAATTGACTTTGCAGAATTATCTCGAATTGTCCTAAAGGAATTGGAGATTAAGGGGTTTTGGGTCACCCTTTCTATCCTCTTCCTCCGTCTGGTAGTGACAGACCAGGGTTTATCTCGATGAAAGCGAGTAGACAAGATCGCCGACATCTATTTAGATAAAAAGAAAATATGACTAATCCAAGATTTCAAGAGCCTGACCGGAAATAAAGTGTCTTCATGATTTGCAGACTTTGGCGAATGACTATTGTTTCTTGGTGGTCGGATGGTTACGTGAACAATACTGGGAATTTGCTTGTTTTTTGTCAAAGAATGATGATTCTAGATCGAAATGACTCGTCAGAATGAAGACAGAAAATAAAAAGAAACTCACTTGAATTCGTAATGATGAATGACGAACTTGACGAGGAACTTTATTGACACGTGGTGCGGATGATAAAGGAGGGTATGAAATATTGTGTACATCTGTAAGTGAAGTTAACAATATTCGATGATGATCATCTCGTATTGCCTTTCTGTCTATTGGAGTGACCTTCATTGCAGTACCACAATTGGAATATCTGCTGTTGTAATCGACAACAAAAAAATAAAAATTTTTATTTTAATTCACTAGCATATTGCATTATATATTCCACATATGATGAACAGAACTGGTGAATAATTATGCATCTTGGAGATGTCTTAAGAGTGAGAAAATGTGCGCTATATAAAGGCTTCTTGCTCATATATGTAAGGCACGCAGGTTTCATTAACCCAATTTCTAACGAAAAAAATTGAATAAAAGACATGTTTTTTTTTACATATAATACAAAGTAATGAATTTTTTGTGAAAAACACTTGCTATGCAAGCGAGAACGAAT